CCCCCATAGGCCACACCTGCAAGACCACAAGAAATAATAAACAGAAGTGTGACAGTGGGCTCACAGCATCACATCACAGCAATAAAACACACCTCTTCCTCTCTGTCCCTTGGCAAGCACCCTTTTATAGTGAGTTCAGCCTGGGAAGGATGGGGAGGGACTTAAGATGTTTTGAGTGTGTCAGTGCAAGAGAACAGGGACACGGTTGTCAATTCTGCCGTGATTTTCAACAGGCTGGGGTTAATATCTCTCTCCTGAGGGTAAACAAGGCTACTTCTCATGCATGCATATGGCTTGAGATCAGTGCTGCTCACCTGTGTGCCATCCCTTGGTCCCTACACAAATGGTTGCCAGTTAATGCAGGGAAGTTCCCTACAACAGGGAAGGAACAAAGCAGCTCTGCCAAGGAACCTTTGGCAGCAGATTGGCAAGTACCTCCAGGAAAGTTTCCTAGAGAACTCATTGAAGGATTTCTGTAAAATTTCAGTGTGCATTAACACACTGTTCCACCCCACTGCACAGTTGCAGATGGGACTGTGAAGCACATGCCGACAGAGCTAGTCTTGTCCATTTCTACCCCTTCACCCACTTCTAGCATGAGGACAACTCTACCCCATGTAACCAAGCAGCATCAGCTCAAAAAATAAACAAGTCACTTACCAGTGCTTTCCTCCAGTGATGGAATGCAGGGAACGGCTCAAACAATACAGGGTCAAGAAGAGGTCCTGGTTCATCACAGAACTGCACAACCCTGATGCCTTTCCCATGTCATCCTTCAACTCCACTTCCTTGTCCCTCACTTTCTCTCTCAGGGTGGAGTCTGCTGTCTGGAGTCCCCACCCTAAGTATCCACAGGGCTCTTGGTGATGGAGGTGGGGTCCCCACCAAGATAGTGTTCAGCTCCTGACTGAAGTGGCAAGTCTCCAGCACAGCACCAGAGCAAGTTTCACTCCCTTGCCTTCTGGTACACCTGCATCAGAGCCTTTATCTTTGCATGGCGTGGCTGCGAGCCTCAATCATAGCCTTTATCTAACATGTTATGAGAAACCTGACCACATGCACTGAAGTTCCTAGGGCTGGAGTGTAGATAGAGCTGCAGATCCAGCAGATCCAACAACTCCTCCAGTGTGGATAGAGCTGCAGACCCAGCAGATCCAACAACTCCTCCAGTGTGCTCCAAGTGGGAGAGTGTTTGCTGCATGGAACCGCCATGGTCAACTGGGAAGATGCAATGTGAGCTGTCTGCATACAGCAAATAGGAAGTGGAATTTCAAAAATTCCCAGCCCTTTAAAGGGGGAGAGGTAGATGCCTGTGTACCAGGCTGCAGGGCAGAGGAGTTCAACTGCTGACCAGAGTGATTGGGATGGTCATTGCGGGACATCTCCTGGAGGCCATAACCAAGTGTAGCGTTTACACTGACACTTTGTTGGTCTATCTTTGCCACAAAAAGCTCTATGCCTCTCGTTGAGGTCATTTTATATTGGTGGCAAAGTAGGAGAGTTTTGTCAATGGAAGGAATATTGTAGCATGTATCTCTCCAATGTTTTGTCAATGGAAGATGACTTTTCTCAGTAAAACTTTAGTGCAGATAAGCCTTAAGATCCCTTTGTTTCCTCCACCTCTGGTAACTTTGGTTCCCAGTTGCCACGACAACTGGTTGTAGCTGGATCCTTTTTGCTCAGGTCATGTGCTGTCAAAGTTTACTTGCCACAGCAACTCACTGCTCCTTCTAAACACAGCTGCTGTGTTTATATCACCACCTGGCTCAGCGGGAGGCACCCACGAGCTACCTACTTCCCATGAAGAAACTAAAATTGATCAGAGCTGAAGACTCACCAGACACCCCTGCTGGTTACGGGCTGCAGGTTGTGCAGGCTTCTGACTGGCATGGACTGCTGGATGACCCAGCACCCTGCTCTGCATTACCCATGGGAGAGTCCTAGGGTTGCCAGCCAGAGCACCACTGAAAAGAGACCTTGGTGGCGCCAGACAGCACTGCTGGCCAGGCTGCTAAAAGTCCAGTTGGCAGTGCAGCAGGACTGGCAGGCTGCCTGCTTGGCTCTGTACGGCTCCCAGAAAGCAGCCAGCACATCCCTCTGGCTCCTAGGCAGCAGGGCTGCCACGGGGGCTCTGCGCACTGCCCCGCCTACAGTTGCCAGATGGCTGAAACAAAAATACCGTCCCACTCCCAGAAATGTTGTTGAAGGGAAAAAAAGTTGGGGTACGGGGACCAAAGTTGGTGAGCAAAATAAAAAAAACCTCCTGGATCGCTGCTAGGAGTTACCAGGTAGTCATTTAAAAAAACCCACAAAAACCCCAACAGGCTTCATTGGGTGGCGGGGGGGGGGAAACAGACCGGCCAGGAAAGGAGTGGTGCTGGTTGGGAAGGGTGGG